ATATATATTAGTAGTAATACAAGAGCACATTCTTAAGCTAAAACGTGGGGCAAAGAGTTCATTCAAATTAATTGTTAGTGAAAAAAAACCTTACTAAAAACAAAATTATTTATAAAATCTTTCCTATTTTTTACAGGTCTTTACTTTAGTCAGCACCAACACAAGGAATATCAATAAAACTCAAATATTGGGTAAAGATCTTACCATTAGTATGTAAATAGATTAGCATATAGTAATAATAACAAGAAGAAAAATCTACCAATATGATATCTATACATCCTACATGATTTAATGAATGTTTAACTACATCAAGAAGGGCTATTAGCATCCTTTGTATTTTGTATCTCACGTTCATTACTTATTGGAGGATATCTGCTTTCATAAAGAATCCCTCCTTCATTCTCTGCCCATCAATTTATCTCTACAGTAAGTCTTTCTAAATGCTTAACCAGTGGGAGTTACGTTGGGCCCTTTATTACACTGTGGGAGCTAAGATATTTGTCTTTAGAAACATATTAGTTTACTCTGTACTCCTCTAAGATTTCTTCTTTCATTTTATTACACTCAAAGCAAGTGTTCCTAAATCAAGACAAGCACCAACATCCAAGATCAACATTGTTACAAAGAGGCTGTAAATGTAAAACAATTAAAGTCTTGTAAATATTTTGATTTGGAGGAATTGCAGACAGCTCGTGCAAATGCTGAAAGTATGAAAGAGAAGAAAAGAGAAAGAAAAGTCAGAAAGAGAAGTCAGTCTGTCATTCCTAACTAAAGTCTGTTTGCAGTGTGTCTTCTGTGAAAGTGCTGTAACAGTTCTGACTGTCTCTGATATTTATTTCTTTGCATTCTTTAATTTGTGGAACTTCACAGTCTTCATATGTAAGTAAAGAAAAAAAGGATCTTAATGTCTTGTACACAGACAATAAAAAAAATAATTAAAAAAATAGTAAGGGAAAGAAATGATAGCTCCAGATGAAAACTTGAGAGATGCTAGTATTATTAGAAGTTATTATTAACCTCTAATTTAACATATTATGAAAGGTTAATATTATTAAAGGTTGACTAAGGATATCTATAAATAGATATATCTATCTGAAATGATCTGTATGACAAATATATATATATATATATATATATATATATATGGATGTTAGATAAGAAAAGGGGAAAAGGGAATATGCATGAAGATAAAACATTAAAGGAAACAGCCTACAGAAAACTAGGTGAAATCCTGCTGCTCCCAAAAAATAAGACAGTAGTAGATGAGTAGGGAAAAGAAAATCACTTTCCTAGGTAAAGCACAAAATTGCAGACCAGACATCTACTAGTTTTTCAAAAAGCAGAGACATTTTCCTCACTGATCCATGTACTCTTAGATCCAATAAACATGACATTCATTGCTTTCCCAAGATAAAACTATACTTTTTTTATAGAATGAAAGCACAGGAAAAAAGCAAACATCGTATAGCAGATAAAGAGTCCATGAAATGTTTAATGTTTTTTTGTTATCCTTGTTTGCGTTTCTTACTTCCTAAAAGTTTTAGGCTAATTTCGTCAACCATGAAAAGTTATTTACCTAAAATTGCAACTTTAGATATGCCTAGGGGCATATCTAGGTTTCTGTGCTATTTCCTTTCAGTCAAGTACTCTAATTTTGAGACATTCAGAGTTGATATTGGTTTGGTACAGTAGGTTGAAAATTTTGTAACCATAGGAATCGAGTTAGAGACAAAACTTCTGTCTTTACAAAAAACCTTCTCTGTTTTAGTTCTGGTTATGCGGAAAAATAAGTTTCTTATGTACTCATCAATGGTTTTTGTATTCTGATGAACTAGAAAGGGAAGGGTAAGAAACATGTGCTAAAGACTTTTGCAATATCCTCCTCCAAGAACTTATCATTTTTCTTGTTGGCTTTGTAGCAAAGAATTATTTGAACACTCAGTATTCTTCTGTGTATGTGGTAGTAGAATTACACAGAAAAAGGAAAGGTGTTCGTTTCCTGTGAAATAAGATTTCCATTACTAAATTGACCTTCAAACATACCTTTTTGTTAGGCAAATGTAATTATATGAAATTAGTCACAGATTTCTTTTATTGTGCAAGTAAATCTTGATAGCACACCTTTCTATAAAAGCGGCGACTCAGTTTAATAACTTATGCTTCTCTACCTATCAGCTTTAGAAACACAAACAGTGCATTCTGCTACAAATAATTCCTACTGCTGCACTTTATTTTAATGTACTGAAGCAAAACACTAACATAATTGGTGTAATCTGTTATTTACAGATCTGCTGCAAGACACAAGTGGCAACCTAATTTTCGCATTATAAGGAAAAACAAGTCCACCTTTATGACTTGAGTAATGTTCCAGAAATTATACTGATAGTAGAAGTATTTTTTTCTCCCTCACAGTAAACTTTTATTGTAAGAAAAAACTTGTATAAGTCAATATAAGATCTAGGATCGCACATTATTCAATTTATATCTGAGCTAGAATGAACGAACAGTACCATAAAACAGTAAAAGAAATGACCCTGTAAAAAGTTTTTAACTCCAAATTTTTCACATTTGTTGGCTTATTCTACATAGCCAATTTCTTCTGCTAACAAATTAAATTATAAGAAATTTCTTTTTTATTAGTAATAGAAGTACCTCAGAGTAATGCAAATGCTCATAGGAAATCACTGGCAGACTTTTATTCCCAATTTTATTAATAATGATTCTAAAATACATTCAAAACTCCTTACTCCCACAATATTGCTAAATCCTAGTTTACTGAGTTGCACAGCCATGAATCTATGATTAATTTGAGATAGAAGAGATTTAACACTGAACTGGGAGGCAATATGTAGAGCATATTTCAGCAATTCTTCACTTTAATCAGAGTGGTCTAACAAATGTGAAGGTGCACTTATTTCATAGAAGTAAAACTGTTGAAAGCTATTTTGAATAATACATCAGATAAAATATCTAGATCCATTGAAAGAGCAAAGGCAGCCTTGTCTGAATAATTCATAACACTGTAAGAATAATCATATGCAACAAATTGGTTTATCAGTTTATTTTATTGTCTTCAATAGTTTGTTTGTTCTAACTAAATTAGTGCACTACTAGTTATCTTTGGAAGCCTTCAGTATTTTCAAGAATCTTATGAAATTGAATCCAACTAAATATTTTCCTCTAATAAGATCATTCTTCTAGGACACTGAAATGAAGTTTTTAATTTTTGAAGCGGCAGCTGTCCACATAGGAATCTCGGTCACTGCTAAATGTAGTACTTCTGGTAAAATTAAGAATGAAAATGTGAAGTCAATATCAAATAAACACCTTCCAGGTGACATCTATTAGATAACATCTCACTAGGAAAGTGCCATACTTTGCTTTATTTCAAGTGGCTTGGAAAATTCATTATAATTTTTTCTTGCATAAGAAGAATGACCTAGATACTACATACTGTTATTTTCTTCTCTAGTTTCTGTTTTTATACTGCTCTATTTCACATCTGTTGATCTGCATAGAGAACCCTGTGGGAACCATTTACTATGTACCCCCACAGTGGAAGTCTGCATAGAAACTCAAATATATACAGTAGCAAGGCAGAAAGAATAGCTTTAATTCTCTTCTTTCTCTAAATAAGAACTTACACAAAGTGAAGTTGAAACAGAATTAATCAAATCAGAAGAGCCTCCCTCACACAAGAAAGCCAAGAGCAGGTTGGCTTTCTGACACAGCATGAGAGTACTGCCACAAAAAGCATTCTGTGTCCCTGCTGAGGCTCCTGATGCTGCTACTCCTCATGCCAAACTGGCTGCTATTACCACATCATCTGCTGTTGGTGATACTTCATGTGTTTGTTTGAAGGGTCAAAGGAACACATTGTAGACTATATTGTGCCAAGAAATGGAGTAAAGCAATTTGGAAAACCAAATGATGAAAGTATTAGTGCAGAAGACCAATAAACCCTGCCAATTACTCTTTGGCACAAAGGTCTCATAAGAGGAATCCAAGAAAAACATAAGAGCATATATTTGGAACAAGCTTGGAACTTGAGAGCCACGGGAAAATATCAAAGGTATCACACCACAGACTTTCAGCAGGAGCAGAAACAGAACTTAGGTGCAAGTAGAAAATATGAACGTAGTTGCAGTGTTAAAATGCCTAATAAGGATCAAGAAAAAAAAATATCTGAAGTGCAAACTACATGCAATACTTTTTTCTTTCTTTTTTAATCATCTAGACACTGAGAGCCAATGAAAAGTGCAATTATTTGCTCAAACATTCAAGAGTTTATTAACTCCACACCTATTAAATGACAGCAGGACAAACTGCAGCCCCATACAAAACATACGCAGTACTCCAAGTACTTTCTTGGACTTGAAGGAATCTACTACAGGTATTAAAAATAAATAAATAGTTCAGCTGTTGACAAACAAATTCATGCTGCAATTCGAGCCTGCCAAAGTAGAGCCCAGTGAAAATCCTGTGTTCTGCTGTGGTATAGACACCAAATTATGAAAATAGCCCATCCACTTCATGCAGGTCACAGAAAAGTAGCTATATATTTGAGTTAGATTTAATTAGCTTATTATAAAGTTATATTTATCCCATTGCTTACTCACTAAAATGTCTTGATCCTTCAGATTCTTTTCACTGACACTCAGCTGTAAATATTAATAAAAGTAACATGCATTCTTAATATTTATTAATACACATAAGATTGAATTATAACATCTATGATATTTGCCCAAAACATTTTGTGTAAAGATCTGCATTACATATAAGATCAACCATTACTGTTATACAGCCACTTCAATTTGAAATGCAGCATTTATTGCATCAACTCGAATTCGGAGCCCCAGTGACATGGTTGTAGTCATAGCACATTATGATGGTATTAACCACTGATAATTCAGATAGAGGTTCTGAAGGAAAAAAAATACGTATTTTTATATTTATTTAGTTTGAAATTGTATATTTCAAATTTGCATCCTATTATGAAAAATAATGCTGGATCTCAAGAAGAAACATTTTAAATGTTCTTCAAGAATCTGCAATTCTAGATAGACAGTGGCCTATTACAACATCCAGGAAATTTGTTCACTAATGGAAAAAAGAAAAGAATGACAAATTCTCAGCCAGATATCCATATGTAGCAACAGAAAGGTCGTAACTGGAGTTCTCCCAGCCAGGTACAAACATGGCCTGATTTGTTTCAGAATGTTGTTATAGAATGTAGCAGAATTACAGCTGACTGTGATCAATGATAGCAACATTAAAAATTCCTGCTACTATATATAAAATACTGGTTAAAATGTTTCTAGCAACACAGCTGAACTATATCCATATGAAAAAACATGTTAACTCGTGACAAAGGAAACAGACACATCACTTTTGAATGTTCAATTGAATCAGCATGTTGATTAGTTCCTCAGTCTGCTTCATATAATCCAATTGTTCCTCTGTAGGAAATTGATGTTTCCAGTGATACAAATACCAGACTTGCCTAAGGACAGAAATGTTTTTTATCCTTTGATTCTAGATTTCTTAAGTATGATGTCAGAAACTGCTATTGGCATTTCACATTTATTTTCACTTACCTTTCCCTTTAGATTTATGATTCCTTCAGGCTGTATGCCAGGTGTGTATCCTATCATTTGGAGGCATTTCATGGTGACAAAAACTGCTGACATTCTCTTGGTTCAGACAATCCCGTATGTCTCTGACAGCATCAGGAGAAGTCTGTATTTGGACCAGAAAAGCAGAAGCAAATACGACAATGCCCAATACGCTAAAAATTGCAACTTCTTTATGGGGAAACAAATTTTAAAAAATTATAAAATCCTGTCCTTTATAAAGTATTCTTACAGCAGTCTTAGTTATCAAATTTTACTCAGAATAATTAAATCAGAAATAGTATTACCAGCAAATTCAGATAACAATGAACTTTCTTCAAAATGAAGGACAACTGCAAACTGCATTAACCTTAATACAACTGGGAGTCTTTGGCTAGATCAGGGGGTAAAAAAAAAATTGCAGAAGTTAACAATTTGATAGTAAATTTCTGAGAATATACTGCCACAAGTGAAAGAATATAATAAGGATTTCCTCCTCGAATTATGTCTACAAAGGGCAATTTTCTTATGCCTTACTCATGTGTTGATACTAAAATGAGTGTGAAGAAAAAGGCTTACTATGTTTGCTTAAAACGACCACTTGCTCTTCTGAAGCTTAATATTATATTGTATAAATTAACCAACTGCAACACTATAGAATCTAGTTTTACAACAGCAGTGAATTAAGCTTTATATATTGAGAAGAAATTTTTTTAAAAGTGATATTCATTTATTTTAGGATCTGACTCATATTCTGAACTATTAACTGTTGCCAAATACACACTGAAGTAAGCTATTAACAGCAATAACTTGTCAGGTGTCTTTCTTACAATAAATGCTTCCAGAGGCATTACTTCATCACAAAAATTGTGTAGCCTAAATTTTATATAGTTTTTGAAGATTTGAAATTTGGTTTTTGGTTAGCTATCAGTACATTCTTGAAACAGTACTAATTAAGATTTTTTTTTTTTAATTACATACAAATATAATGCAATTAAATATTACTTTGAAAATAATATTTATGCTTTTGAAAGCAAGAAATGAAGTTTCCCTTACAACTTTGCAGTTTATAGTAGTAACACTTTAAAACCAAAGATAGAGGGTTTTCCTACATCATTTAGTAAAGTAAATATTGTTTATATAAGGTCAGAGAAAGGTGAGATTGAGAATTTAAAGATCACAGCTCAACATACAAAGATAATATTTGACAGAGCTACGTTAAAAGCCTTGACATAGCGTACTTTCTGACCATTTAAACTTAGAGATTGTGTGTTCAATTCTCTACTACAGCTTTTGTAAGATCATACTTTGAATATTCATGATGCACTGTTGTGTGCATTTGCTTCTCTGTATGCTTGCACCATTTTTAGGCCCCTTTAGGTCAGTGCAGAGGGAATAAATGAGATTTAATAAAATGCAAGTTTACACATGCATATACGCACCCACATAAACCAACGATAATGTCAGTAACCAGAATTTAGGCTTGAGAGAAAAGGACTAATCTCAACAATCACTGCAAAACACTAACAGTGTTGTTGAGTTTTACAGATATATACAGCCCTGTTTTGAAGTTCCATTATACTACTGAAAAATCCAAGAAACTTATTCCTTTGTTTGGTACTGATGCTGATTATGAAGATAGACTCGGTAGCCTGTGACACGTTCATAATATTCCTTTCTGTCTAGCTATCATATGAAACACTTTCTCCAATACTTTCACAGTGTCAGATGGAAGTCATTACATTCCTGTAGCTCATCCTAGATTAAAACTGACAGCAGCATGGAGGAAGTGAGAGAGGCAAAAGCAGCTCATGGGAATGGATATAACAAAGCACGAGTTGGACATAGATTACACAGACCTTTTACATATTTGATTCTGGCCTCTCATGTATAGATGCTGTATATGTGTTCTGATTTTGCTTAAATACTTGTTCAAACTCAAATGCAGAAACAAGTCAAACACAGGACACTTGATAAAAGTGCAGGAAAAATATTCAGATTCAGCCTAACATAGTGTCTTCACATGCTTCAGTCACTACTATAATCTTACAACTATTTTTTTTCCCCAATAACTTCCTGTGCTGCAGATTGGGGTTTGTTTTTGTTTGTGTTTTTTGTTGTTGTTTACAGCAAGATACCTATAGATCTCTAATTTCATTTGAATTTCAATTCAGAGAGAAACTTTTAGATGAGAGAAAAATTGTTCATCAACTCTTTATGATATTTCGTAAGTAAAATTGATTTCATTTCAGATCCTAGGTTTACTTTAAAAAAAAAAAGAGTTGAGCTATCTTACTTTCCATGTAAAGCACGTTTATTTTAATAAGGTGTAACATGAAAAGATTAGAATACCATGTGCTGGGTGGTACTGTTGTCACTGCTATACATTACTTGAATTGTGCTTTCAAAACGTGCAGAATTCTCAGGATGCTTAGCCTAAAACCTTGGCAGCTGGAAGTTATTTACATTTAAGCAAGTTTCTTGTTTCATTTTCTATTCCTATTATTTCTATATAATCCATTAAATCAATGTTTCTTCAGCAACATTAATCAGTGGATACACTATTTCTTTGAAAAGCAAATTCAGTTTCTCTTTTGAATATGATGATTACAGCACATGAAAACAGTATACCTGCATAGAGCATTAATAGTTGTTTTTAGTCCAAATGCCACTTTTCACATAAAAGTGCGATTTTAACCTCACTGCTCATGCAGAACATCTTTCTCAATGGAACGTGGAATCCAGCAACTGAAATAATTTTGTTCAAGTTCTATGTTATCTCTTGTTACAGAAAGGTACTTTTCAGCAAAATCAATTTTGCAACCACATCTTCCTTTAAACAGGCATATATAGCACATGACTTTTCATAAGCAACTGTGTCTGCATACTGAGTTTATGGGCTTCCTGTCTTCTCCATCAGAAACCACTGAAATGCATTAACATCCTGCCACCTTCTTATCTTATAGCTCTTTTCTGTACTAACAGAGACATTGGAAAAAGATGTTCTCTCAGATAAACAATTATCATCATGAAAGGTTATGCTTTATGTAGGCAAAGGACCTACTTAGACTGATTTTTTTTTTCCTTTTAATTCAAAATTTGTTGTTTTATGCATTGTTTTTTTTTCCCCACCCTTTGTTATGATACATTATGCCATCAACTTGACAACTCAAATGATACACAATTTATGTTATGTATTTTTTATGTATTTTCTAGTATTTTGCTACTATTGGTACTATAGTTAACACTGTCACATTGGTTAGACACTTTCTAAGAAGATCCACAAAAATTTGCTAATGCTTGCATCTTACATCCAAGAAAACATATACCAAATATCTCTAGAAGTAGCATTTATATATTATTCAGTAGCTGTTTTCAGACATCCACAGAAGTGGATGCTTTTGGACTCACTGACAATAGATTTGGTAAATCTATAATCAGGAAAGTTTCAGGAAAGCTTTCAGAAAGACTAGCAGTTAAGCTTTGTTTTCCTTTACATACAGTCGACAGTCACAATCTTTAAATCTTCTGAGTCTTGCTAACAAAGAGCATGCAGAACATTTATACAACTGCGAAGGATAACAGAGTTGGAACTGTGGGGTATTCTTCTCTATTTCCTGGAGAGTTCTGGGCTTTTTAAAATCTGTGTTAAATTTTACGTTTTAAACATGTTATAGCATTGAATGCACCATTCTAACCTTGCTTGTACAGTTCAAAAACATTTTCTTCCATAGTAAACAAACTTCTTGTTTTCAAATCGTAAGCCTGAAACCACTGGAACTGGTTGTAAAAGGAACATAATTATCCATGAGCATTTTATATGGCCTCAAAAAAACTTCTCCAATCACCTTTGAGATTTTTTTTCCCCCCCTCAGTTTCAACATAAACTTTCCCTGAGAAAGAAAAAAATTCAAGTCATTGTAATCCCTTGTAATCACACAAATGCATGCTCACATACAAAAGTAAATCTCAGCCTTCACTTTCCAATGTTTCTGGAAAACTACTAGCTATTTGGTGAGGGCAGGTACTTCAAATTTGATACAGATGCCACTGGAAGTTAGCAATCATTTGCAAACTACAAGCAAGCAAATAGGCACAAGCTCTGCAATCTGAACCCGAGAACACAGTTTCTGCTATTTTATAGTGGCTGTTCAAAAGAAAGAATATTTTATGCCATTATCTAGAATTGTGCCTGTTCTAGACTAACAAGTTGGTGTTGCTGATTGGTAGAGAGGAAGTGAAAAGCTTTGGTTAACTGCAACCTGAAGTAACTACTCCTAAAGGATAGGACATTTTAAAATGGAAACTATCATATTTCCACAGATAAATCAGATGTTTATTATTAATAATACTACATCAGAGCTAATGTTCCTGTATACAGAGAAATAATTGCTCAGCATCATGTGTATAATGGAAGATAAGAACCACTGACATAACTGGCCCATACACTACCACACTCCTCATTTTTGGTTTCAGGAAAGTAAAAAACTACAATTGCTGTTTTGTTTTT